AATTAATATACCCTTGTGCACAAGTGCGCTCGGGTATAAAAAACAATGTCGCTTACGTCTTTTTGGCGGTTAGGAGTCGATATGTAAAATCAAATTCTCTTGACGCTTTTGGGCACAAAAACAGTCGTAAATATTTCACTCTATTAAAGCCAAAACTGAAAAGGTGGGCAGCCCAGCATGCTAGAAAAAGTTTTTCGCTTTACAAAAATTCCTGAATTTTTGCACAAGTTGAACTCAGTACATCCTTTTTACAGTAAAGCCATCTCAAAGGTTTCAATTTGCTCGAAAATGCTTAGCTTTCACACGCTTCGTGCTAATTCATCAACATGAATTCAAAGAGCCTAATAATCAGTCATACTAGTTCGCAATGTCCACCGCAAAAGAGCCATGTTATCCAGAGATTCGCACTAATACATGCATACGCGAAATAAAAGTACATTAATGTAGGAATTCCTATGCAATTTTTGGTAGAGGCAAACAAGTCCATTGCAGCCAGCCAAAATTTACATACACACACACACACACACACACTCAAAAAAGATCAAATATCGCACTTGCACGTGCCCACCCAGCCAGAATAAAAAACGATCCGAAAAATGATCCGAAAAAGGAAAAAAAATGTGGATGAAGTGCGGATTTTTGTCCGTTTACCGATTCCATTATCGGATACTTTGACGATCCATTTTCCCACCAAAGTGTGCGGCAGAAACGTACGTACAGACAAGTACCGAAAATTGTTGGTGAAACGGATACTTTTTTTGGGCGTTTTTCTGAAATTTTTCGGATTGAATTTTCCGTTCAATACGCTTTCCTTCTGCACTTCACAGATACTTTTTCATGGTTCAAAAAGAAAAAAAAATAAATTAAGGAAGCGCCTGACGGGATTCGAACACGGCACCTTCACTATGGCACTAGACTGCACTGTCTCGGCAAAACTAACGTTTCTCTGCTGGCTGGGCATACACATACACTTCAACAAATACATACATACATAAATTCATTTGAATTGAAATTCGTACGTACATTTTTAAATGGAATTTCCGGCGTCCATTCAGTGGTCGGTTCATCCTCAATAATCAATGCTTTCGGGTCAATTGTGCTGGTCAGGTTCTGAGCACTCGCTGCAGTGCCGTTCAATTTTAGCGGCGGCTGTTGATCGACCACTGTAGGCGCAGTCAGCGTTGTAGGCGATGAAACAGTCGACAAGCCAGTTGTATCGCCAGCTCCAATGCCACCAGCGCTATCACTACCGCCACCTGCGATGCTTCTAGGCCCATTGATGCCATCACCTGCACGTCCACCATTACCCAACGCAACACCTTCCATTACATTTGGCAATGAGTTTACCGAAATATTTTTCTTTTGTAGCGCAGCGAGCGATGGTAGAGGATTGGGGGGCAAATGTGGTTGTGGCTGTGGCTGTTGCTGTTGCTGTTGTTGTTGCGCTTCCACACCAGTTGTGGTGGATATGGATTTGGAAGCGATGCTGGCGGGTGTTGTGACGGCAGTTGGGGTGCTGGCATCGCTGCCACCCGCAGCTGTCGCACTTGAAATGGTGTTGGCCAAATGTTGACTGCTGCGCGTGCCAAAGCGACGTTTCGGTCTGAAAAGCGCACAAGCGAGCGCAAATACATAAGTAGAAGAAACAAAATGTTACAAATACAAAAGCATAAATATTTTTTTGTCACACAATGGTGAGTGAATAAAAATTTTTTTTTTTAAATTTCAATGTAAATGTATTTAGCTCTCAGTGCAGCTCAGTACTCTTCTTCTTTTATGGCACTTTATTAATTTATTTGCATATTTATTAATTTCTCTTAATCACTCACCTTAATGGCTCAGTGCGTTTTATCAGATACGTTTTGATGTTCAACATTTTCAAGTGATTGTCACGACTACCACCGTTGCCGGGCTCCACTTCGTAGGCCTCGTTGAGGCACTTCAATGTGGCCTCCGAAATGTGTACGCGTCTGAAAAAAGTAGAAGAAGCTAATTGATGTTGAACTAATTGTTAACACGTGCAGGCAGATATACATAACTATGCTGTTGGAAATTTAGCGAAGGACAATAACCGATTGTCTTTATTTCTATGCTAGGCAATTAAATAAGCCAAAGTCAAAATTTAATTATTTTGTCACTACATATTTTATTGAATTGAAGTGGCACTCTTTTACTTAAGTAAGTCGCATGTAGCATGTGGAAACTAAAGTAGTATGCGGAGTACAGGGCGTATGATTAATTTCGAAGTTGATAAGGACTGTGGGCCGTTTTCTGAAGTAACTTTTAACTTTAAAGCTCACTTTATATTTAAAGGTTGGATTAAAAATAAAGCTATGTCTAAAGTTAAGCATTTGAATGATCGGTTTTTGACGTGTTCATGTTTTTTGGTTGTATACCAATTTAAAACCGATAATAAAATGCTTTACTTTAAAGACAATCATAAATTTTAATGCAACCTTTAAATATAAAGTGAGCTCTAAAGTTACAGGCTACTTGAGAAAACGGCCCTAAGTGCTCTAATGATAGCAACTGCCATTATTATTTGTATAACCTACAAATCTTATGAAGAAGCAGTGGCTAAGACAATAGTCATGCTGTGAGTTTTGTCATTGGCATAGGAACAGCGCTGTTAGTTAGAAGTTTTAGTCTATATCATGATAGATAATGAAAACAAGTTTGACTTTTTTCTTGGAGCATATGCCTTGATTTTCCAAGCAGAGGTATTTGAAAACCACGAACTACTTGATGCAAAATAGACGGATAGGTAATAATTTGTGTTTGTTGTGACAATGAAGCTGCACTAAAGGCATTGGCCAGCCTTCTAACCACTTCTAAAGTAGTTGGGCAACGCAAGAGGCGACTAAACTATTTATCTTGGTAAACATAACGAACTCGTTTTATTATGCGTGCCCGGTGATACGGAAATACTTGGAAATTTGGTTAGCATTGGCTTCGACCATGTATTTCCTGGTCCCAAGCCCGTTAAAACACTCAAACCTTCGGTCATCGAAGCCACTGCCGGTAACTGAGTGAATATTTCGCTCGACAATGACTGAAAGACATCGAAAAAAGGCTGCAGGTGAGCAAAACTCATGTGCCCTCAATCTCAGAAGGTCTAATTTGTCATTTGCTTTCGATGGGCAGATCAGACTGCAAACAACTATCGTTTGAGAGTTTTCGTTGTTCCTTTTGTTGTTATCGTAGAGTGTTCCTCAGGATCAAATACGTAACGGCTGGCTTAGGAAACGTGCTGTTTTGAGAGAGTAAGACCAAAGTTGAGTGGGGTTTAGGGGCGAGAGAAAATAGGGTTTGCGGCAAGTGGGGATCCTTCACTTGCGTGGCATGCAATGGTTGCTTTTGATCCAACCAGTTCAGATAAGTCGTAACTTTAGAAAAATACGGGTCTCTAATTGCAGCTGTCGCCGCGCGAGAGCACCTAAAGGCCGTTAATGTATTTCGTGGTCTATGGATATTTGGTCAGCTCAGTTATCAGACCTCGTCCATGGGTTCGTAGATATGTTTCCTGACATGACTGCAAAATGTTTCAGCTTCAAAAAAGCGCCTCTTCCGATGCTTCCGGCGGTAAAGGCCGATTAGGAATTATTTAAAAATGCATTAAGTTCATTTTGTGCAGAGATCATGCGTCATCAGAAGACATTTGTGGGGTTGTGAATGGCCTGAGGCTAATTTCACCGAGTCCTAGTAGTAGTACTGTGACGGAACACACATTAAATTGTAAAGAAACTTTCTGAAATTTTTTTCCATTTTATTTTATGTTTGTTGGAAAAACGCACCTAATAAATAATAAAAAAAAAACGTTTGAGCTAATTATGCTAGCAGCACTTTCTCGAGATGGTTAAGGATAGAATTAGGGTCGACTCATCTTGGCGCAATCCTGCGGTTCGGCATAGTGCTGGTGAACTATTTCAAAGCAACATTTCTAATATAATCCACCTGTTTAGCCATCAGTAATTTAATAATGTTTCTTGCTTCCTATGAAAACGGAGAAACTTATACCTTGTACTACTTACACACATACATAGAAATGTTTCTACTTTTTAATTATTAGTACGCGAAAAAACCTGCAAGAGGAAAATAATTTTTTTTTCTAATATGTAAATTGCATTTTATGCCAAAAATCCATTAAAAACTATAAACGAATTTTAATTGAAAATTTTGGCTCATCCTCTGAATGTTACTCATACACGTCATGTTAGCAGGTGTCCTTTGAAACAACACGCCGAAAAAAAAATCATTTCAAAAGTCATTGTTGGTTTTCTGGTCGCCTGATAAAATGTACGATTTTTAACATTAAAAAAACTTTTCCATGACAAAAAAATACTACATATGCACCATATATTTACAAGAATACATATGTACATGCCTATGTACATACACTCACACAGAAATTTTTAAATTTATTACTCACCCAGGAATACCGCCAGATTCCATATGATTGGCAATAATAACATCGTTGGACCAAACATCAAAATGCCATTTTTTATTGCCCAAAACGCCGCACATCACTGAGCCGCTATGAATGCCAATGCGCATATTCAGATCAACCTGACGATAAAAAAATATAAATTGTTGAACTAATAAGCATTGACAGTGAAACGAAATATCGTTGACTACAGTAAAAATATGGAATACAATTTTATTATAATTTTGTTTGTTATTTAATAAAATTTGCCATTTTAAATTTCTAATCTGTCATATAAGAAAATTATTAGCAATCAATACACGCGATTAACCTAAGAATTTTTAAGCCACAAGTCAAAATGAATGAGACAACTAAAGAAACTCCAATCCCCTTCCAGGACGAATTCCGACAGACTCCTTGAGCTTAGCCGTTACTATACATATATCATTAGTTAAGCAGCGGGCTCAACTAGTATATATAAGCATACATATGTATGCACTTTCACAGTAAGACTAGTAAAGTTAGATTTTCTTCATGAATTTACGTACAGGCAAAATGGTTTTTGAATGGAAAGCAAAACGGCGAAAAGCAACTCTATGCTTTTGTGAAATGAATACTACAGCCAAAGGCCAAAGGGATCACAGAACAAACTCGAAAATACGCAGAAGCGAATATTTATGAAGCGAGTTTGTGACTTTTGTATGCGAATTGCAGAGAAGTAAAATAGAGGCAACACATTGAAAAAAAAAAACAAAAAAGCGATTGCAACGTATTTGTATGCACGATACGTACCTGCGAATTTATGTACGGACATTAGGGTGGTCCAAAAATGCATGCGAAACCCCCTAGGATTGTTCTATATTTTGAAATCAAAAAATATTTAGAGGTCGCTCGAAGCGCCCAAAGTTTTCCATGTATTTTATTTTTTTCGTAGAAACGGTATATGATTCTTAAAAATCAATATTTTTCTATCGGAAAATTCTGTTTATCTGCAAGAGATTCCCAGTAATAATACCCAATTGTTTATTTAACCATTTTTTCATCGCAACTATAATTTATAGGTCCGCCGAAAACCCCATAAAAACCCCGAAAAATGCAACGGGCGGAAAAATAAAAAAATCGTTAGTATTGAAAAATGGTTAAATAAACAATTGGGTATTATTATTGAAAGTCTCTTGAAGTGAACCAGAATTTTCCGAACGAAAAATATTGATTTTCAAGAATTCTATACCATTTCTACGAAAAGTTGTTTTTTCCCATAAAAAAAATACATGGAAAACTTTGAGCGCTTTGAGCGACCTTTAAATATTTTTTTGATTTCAAAATAAAAAAAATCGCGATATACTTTTTTTCGATATAGAACAATCCTAGGGGGTGAGAGCATTACANAAAAAAATACATGGAAAACTTTGAGCGCTTTGAGCGACCTTTAAATATTTTTTTGATTTCAAAATAAAAAAAATCGCGATATACTTTTTTTCGATATAGAACAATCCTAGGGGGTGAGAGCATTACAATTCCGACTTTACTGTTTTTGGACCACCCTAATGGACATACATATGTACAATTTATAAATTTCTGTATTTATGTACATTCGCTGTACATTTTGGCTACTTGCCATTGAGCAATATTGCGGCTGTTACACCGACTTCAAGCTGGAACACCCGGAGTAGTTCAAAGTAAAACGGCCTTTAAATTGTCGGCGTTTGCGGTCGATGTGGCTCTTGTATGAGCATTCTAAATCATAAAAACACACATACGTATGTATGTATGCACATCAGAATATCCTACATGAATATATTTCATATACATATGTAAGTGTATACACGAATAGCCAGTGAAGATGAAACGGAAGCGCAATGTGGCTACAAAAGCCTGCACAACCACAATGACCCTGAAGCCATAATTTGCAGACATTGTTGATGCAGAATTTGAAATATTTATAAGTTTTTTTTTTAGCATTTTGTATACTCATCGATATTTGCTTTTCGTTATAACCTTAATGCATTTTTGCTTATTAGCAACAGTTAAGCATTAAATTTCATATATTTTCACTTGCGCAAAATCGCAGCAATTTGTAAGTAATTTATATACATATGTACCTACATGCAAATATGTACATATCGAGCCCTAAACGCCAAAATAACGTGAGCGACATTTTTTTCAAAATTTTATTTTTGATGCAGAAATGCATCTTGATACTATAGGAATATTTCTGCATCAAAAAGAAAATTTTGAAAAAATGTCGCTTACGTTATTTTGGCGGTTAGGGCTCGATATGTACATATAGGTATAAACTTCCATAAATATGCATGCGTTATCCAACAGTGCACTATACTATATGTATATAGTGTATTGTTTTTCCGTGTAGATATGAGTGTGTGTGTGTGTAACACAACAGAGTTTTTGGTTTGCTGCTGAGGCGGCAAAATGCATTCAAAGTGATTTACATGCAAATGAATTGTCAATATTGGCGCTGTTACCTCGAGCTTTTCGTGTGGCAACAATAAAAAAAAAATATGTCCACTTTCATGCACACACATATGTATGTACATATGTATCTGTGCTGTTGTTGTTATGTGAACCTTTTCTCGCACGGTTATTGCGCGCTTTTATTGTATCGCTTGGCACATTTATGATATTGGAGGCCCAAAACGTTTTTGTTTTGGCGCCATCATAACAAAAAAAAAAACAAAAAAAAAAGCAATGAATGAAGCCAAGTGCCGGTCAATAAAGAACCGTTTTCACGACCAAACTGTCCTGCTGTCAGTTTTTTTTTTGTGCAATCACGTGTGCAACTATCACGCGAACCCAACACAAAGTGTTAATGGATGCATTTAATAAATAAGTATGTATGTGTGTGTGTTTTCATATATTCCCTGCAGCAATTCAGACTCACCCTAGGTTAGCCCTCAGATAGTCCCTATTGTTACCAGAGTACTAGTCCCTCATAATTCCCCTGCCAATGGTTTCAACTGCCATTTTTAGCATTGGCGTGACTGACCGTAAGATAGTCCTGGACTAGTCCAATTTTGGAGATTTTTTTCGTTGGAGTAAGCTTGCGTTCAGCACTTCGCAGATGCTTTTTCATAATTCGGAAACACAAAAAAAAAAAAAAATTTATCATTTTATAACCATGTTGCTTCTGACGGCATTTCAACCCGGACCCTCCTGAAAGCTAACAAATAGTGGCAAGCATCTCTGCACACTGAGCTACAGCCACGCATGCAAATGTGTGTTCAAAGGTTCACTTTTATCAAGGCCAGACCAAGCGATTGGGACATTTACAGGGTGGTGTTCTTTAATTTTTTTTATTGAATTGTAAGACAACACCACCCTGTCACTGCCAAACTGTACTTTTCGTCTATCTCTAGGCCAGTTCCTTGGGGACTGGTCGAAGGCTGACATTTTCGATGCAAGCAAATGTCCAAATGTGACCATTAAAATTTTAGCCAGTGAAGTACTAGTCCTTAACGGACAATTGGCCGCCTTATTGATGCAGGGTTAAGCCGACGTTACACTTAGAAAAAATTACTAATTGTTATTTTATTGGTGTGATCCAATGAGCAATTATGATTTTCCCGCCATAAGTGGCAGCATTTCGGAAATGGGAAAAATTACAGATCTGATTCTCGTTAATAAGTAAGTACAAGGTTGACCGAGCATTGCACGGAGTGCTTATACTTTTTAAAGTTTTCAAGGTTTGGGTATCAAGTAATGGTCATATGGACAGCATTAATTTATATATATATTTTTCTATGTAACTTTGTTAATAGAATTATTAGCAATGCGTTAATACTTTAGCCCAATAAGTAGCTCAGTATTCAGTGAAGCGCAATGAAACTAAAACACTTTGAGAAAAGTAGGTCGAAAAACAAAAAATATTGTCAATAGATACCTCAAAATCCTATTAAAAAAAATATATATTTTTAAAATGAAATGAATGAAATGAAATGTTTTAGATTCTGACATTAGATATCAAATTAAGAAAGTATTTTTCATAAAAAATTAGGTCTAAATGCACCTCTGCCATCTTAAACCTATCTGGATTTTTGAAAAGATTTTTCGGGTTTCAAAGAGTTTAGTCTTTTCAGGGTCTCATGATTTCAGGATTTTTCGAAATCTTCGAGATTTTTCGAACACTTTAGAAATTTTTTTGGCACTTTGCGGAGACTTTCGATATTTCGATTCGCCTCTTAAAAAAATGTATATTTTCTCTTTTGGAACAACCTTTCGGATTAATTAAAAAAAAATGAATTTTTAAGGAAAAAGTCCAACCCAATTTCTACTAACCTTGAGGTAGCACCTTTTCGACAAAGAAAGCATTATCGAAAACGGTTCACGTAGTGCAAAGTGCAACCAGTGTTGCCAGATTTTATATTAAAAAAAAACTGTGAATTTCCAACAAAAAACTGTAACCAGGCCCCTTTTTAGTCAAAAGAAGAACGTTGCACATCCAAAGCCTCTATTTCAATAAAAAAAAAATACTTACAAAAACAATCGAAAGATATGTTTTAATTTATTCTTTCAAATCTAAGTTTTACAAAATTGTAATTTGTACTAAAACGTAATTTAAAAAACTTAAGCTTGTCTAAAAAACTGTGATTTTCAATTAAAACTGTTAACATGGCAACATTGCCGGTAACATACACAAAAAATAAATAAAATACGCCGATGAATTTGTAACCTTCCTGCTGTTTTGAAGTCAGCTGAAAAACGGTATTTCGCTAACTTATCTTGATGATCTCTTCATGCTTCGTAGTGAATATTACTTAGGTTTTATTTTCTTTGCTAATTGCTTTTATGCTCTCATGCAATGTTCAAAAGTTCAACCTCAAAATTACGGCACTTCTTACATATGTATTTTCATACAACACAAAATCGTTTACCACATCCATTACATTAAAATAATTGAAAATACATACAAATACATATATATGTACATACATATGTATGTGCATATACAAACAAACATCATACTTACATGCGTATGCAGTCGCACATCCTTGATGGCCTTTATCATATGCAGTCCAGTCTCCACACTGCATACCGCATGATCCGGCCGGGTCTTCCAATTGTCACTCTCGAACTGTGACACACAATAATAGCAATCGCCCAAGAGTTTCACACGCAAACAGTGATTGTCCTGCGGTTGCGGTCGGTCAAATGAAGCGAACGTAACAGGGGGGGAGGCAGCACGTACGGGCATGTACGTATGTAGTAGCATCATAAAAGTAAGCAGCAGCATTTGTTGGTAGAAATGACAACAGACGTACATACATCAGCGACACATTGCGGCAATGGCCAGGGCAGAACCGGAAAAACGTAAAAATAAAAAAAACTTTATGTTTACATTCTTGTCTGATCTTAAGCAATTTGGCTTTGGCTTTTGCTGGCCATTTGTTGTTTGCTTTTGCAAAATTTATGTAATGCTTTTTTATGTACACATATGTATGTATGTAGTTACGTAGGTATAACACTCAAGTAACTGCAAAAATTCGAAACAGAAAGCGTGCAAATACATATGTCAGTGTGTCAACTGTGACAGATGATGCCGTCACTTAAGTGCGCAATTTGCTACGGATCAATGTCACTGCATTTGATGCAGTAAAAGTAAAAGTGCAATGTGTAGGTACATATCCATACAAGCTGTATAGTTAACTGAGCAAGCATTGGTTGCATGGACAATTGATAGCCAAGTAGGTGTTCAATAGCCAAGAAATTATTCAATTTACATATAGTTTGGGATTATTTTTTGGATGTACATAGAAATCACATAAAATGTACTTTCTGTTGTTTTCTTTCTATTTTGCATTCTCGAAGGAATCGATAACTTTTAGCTACAAAACTGACAGTAAATTTAAAGAAGAGTTTGGGCTGATTAATCATTTTAACCTTTTCTGAGTAAGCGAAACAGCGACGCTTTTCTAACATCGACTTTTTTAGGTCAGTGGATCTAACGGTGACTTTAATAGCAACATCGTCTGAGACCGAGTATAAGCCGGTTAGAGAAGACATGGATCACGTTAGAAAAGAAAGTAGCACAGCGTTTCGAATTTGGATCGAGAGTGGGAGCTTTCAGCTAGCCAAAGGTAAGCAGGCAGGGGTTAGGCGCCGAACCGCGGAATTTGTGATCGAATGATTAGGACGAACACTTATTTTGTGCGAGGAAGAGTCATACGCAATTTTGCACTGTAAATGTACTGCTGGCAATCCAAAATTCCCCAAAAGAATGAAGTAAATGCTGGCGAAGAGGCAGACTAAAATATGACAACCGACGGATGTTGAGAGACTGACGAGCAAGTGTCATAGAGCAATGTGGACTGACTAAATACTCAGCAAGCCAAAGTAGGCCCGGTGGAGTCATTAGATTAGTGATTCCAATGAGTCGAGAGTAATGCTTCGGGAGAAGAATATAAACGAAGACGGAAAACGATTTGTGTTTTTTTCGTGTTTAAAATCTTAACCGAAGCTCGAAAGAGGAACCGCATATGATCTGATCCAAGATGATCTAAACTTGGTGATAAATAGGCTGCTGAAATCGGCGTCGCTTCCAATTAATTATAGTAAAACAGAACTAGTTGTACTCAATTGAATAGACTAGAACTCCAAAGCAACTTTTCCTTCAACTGGGAGTGTATGCCTCATCTTTCTGATGGTGCGAAGTAATTGGGCTTGACTTAAGATAGAAAGCTGTCAAAATGACTGTTGCAGCCGGATGCCCAAGAAGCTCAGCGTATGGGCATTACAAAATTCATGAAAGTTTGGATTTCGTCTTCGATTTCAATGCGGTTGTAAAGTGGCTGTAAGTAGCTATTTATTTACATATGTATTTTTCCTGACTAGATGATTAGATGGGGTGGGGTGGCTGAGGGGTCTATGCTTAAAGGAAATTTTGGAGCGGGGGTCTTCTGCCATTACATCTTTATCAACTACAGTTTAGACTTCAAGACTTCTCTAGCGTTTCTTAAGCTGAAATGGTTGCCATGAAAGAAGTAGCGGAAAAACTGCGCAAAACTGTGACGTCAATAAGGCGAATAAGCATATGCATTCTAATACTTAGCCAAGCAACAACCAGTGTAGCGGGCAAGAGTTTCCTTGCGGCAGTTTGCTTGACTTAAGAGTTGACCGCCTCTGGTTCACTCTTGGACAGATGGGTATCATATCAGCTCAGGGTACGTTGGACGAAAACTAGGTACCCCTGAACTGCATGGTAACCCTGATCAAGGGTAGATCGAGGGTGATGAAGAAGCACTTTATGAATACAACGTAAAAGCCCCGCATTCTTTCCTTTTTTAGAGGCCACTATTTCATCGGAATTCACGCGATAAGAATAAAAGTCACACCTGATTTTTATTGCCGCAGTGGCATGAGGATGATGAGGTATAATGAGAGAGAGAGATAGAGGATAGGCTGCAAAAGAGCGTGGTTCGGGGTTGTGTTGTTTTGGATAGGTCTCTGGATAAAGATTTCTGCTGTGAAGGGTTTGCTAAAACCTTTTGTAGAAAATTTTATCAAATCTCTTTTTCTTGAAAATGAAAATAAGAAAAAAAAAAATAACTCAATCATAGCGATCAATTATGGAAAAGAGTAAAGAACCAAATTTTTAACAAAAAAAAAAATTCTTCCCAATAATGATTTGGATATCAGAAAAAGTAACGGACTGTCCTTGGCTGAAACACATACATACATACATACATAAATATGCCACTTACCTCGGCGATACGATCAAAGCGAGCAAACAGATCATTAAGAATTTTCACAAGCTGTTGGGCGGACGTTTTACTTGCCAGTTCAGTGAAACCCTGTTGGAGAAAAAAAAACAAGACAAAATAAGAATCGTAAGAGCTCTTAACGCCTTCTTTCATACTAGATTACTTGGGTATATGATTAGTGCGTTTCAGGTTATTTTATACTTGGAAACTGAATAAAAAACGTGGGAAAAATATAAAAAAGTTCCAGAGAACAACTTTTGGTTGCGGTTGAATTGTAAAGTTTACTAAAAGCTGCATTTGCATTTTTTTTCAACAATTTTTAGGCTTTAATTATTCGCTTTACGTACTCACCTTAATATCAGCAAACAGTATGCTAACATTATCCATCGGATACACATAGAGTTTATTAAATTGCGTTTCGACAGTGGGATCTGTGCCTTTATACATCTCAGCGCGAATTTGATTATTCACTATATTCGGAAGTACTAAAAGCGGAAGAAATAAGGCATAAAAGCAGGTCGCTTATTTAATAACTAAATGAAGATGAACATAATTAAAAAAAAAACAATAATAACAATAATAAAACTAAGTCCCTGCTTTAAAAATACAACCACATATGAATTCCGGCAAAAATGTGAATATTTGTGGGAAATATTAAACCACAACCCATACACGGCGAATGCTTTTGTGTTCAAAATAATTTCAATTCTCAAGAATTAACTTTTTTTTAATCATTTTAACTTTCAACTCAAACTTTGCGAGTTGTAACTTTATGTTACATACATACATACATACGTACCTACGCATAGCAAACTTTAGGGCATGAAGAGTTGGATTCACATATGTATGTACATATATTACAGTTATTGCGCATGCGTAGGCGACAAGTGCCTTAAGTTATGCCAGAGTTTCATAATGAAATTTGGTGGTGATTTTCCGCATTTGCACAGAAATTTCAAAAAAGTTGATGGAAAAGTTTCTTGTTCCACTTCAAAGTAAAACAAAAATTAAGTGCGGCTTCACTTTTGGTTTTCTTCATTTTATATTCTTGACAAAAGTTCCGAATGATAATCCAGGTAACTTGATGATATGCAAAAGTATACGGAATACCTTGAAATTTTCACAATTTTTGTTGGTTAACGTATACTCGTAAAGTTAGGTATATGTATGTAAATACATAAATGAAATGAAATATATGTACGTATATTAGGGCGGGTCAATTTGTATAGGATTGTAGGGGGATTCTACGTGTAACTTTTAGCAAATTTTCCAAAGAAAGCATGGTTCTAAAATCAATTTGGAGTTTGCCAAATTGCGAAAACATGTTTCTTTTTGTCGATAAGAAGTGCTTAAATGAGTACTTTTTGCACAGAAATAAAATGAGTGGGAAAATACCTTTCCACTGATACCGCACAAGTCGAAATCGGAATAGCTATGGTCCAGTTATTGAAGTTTTTCTCAAAACAATCTTTGAAAAAAGTTAAAAAAACAGCATCAAAAATTTCCTCATTACGAGTCCGTTGAAATTTTTTTTTTAATATTTGTATGCAATTTGCTGCCCCGTTTTCTAGAATGAAATTTATTTCCCATACAAAAATTGGACCACTCTAATGTGTATGCATGTAGTTTGTATTGAAAAAAATTTCAAGGATAAGTAATATATACGTTTTTCTATTTTAAAACACAAGAAAATGTGAAAATTTTCACTGTTGTGCGCTCTGGCGGATGTTTTAGGAAAACGATAAGTCCAGAAATAGATTCCTCATACCAAAAACCTCTTATAGCATGCTTTTATTTATATTTAAGTGCGGCACAATAACAAAATGCTAAGTAAAAGTAATTTATTTTCGCAATTTGGCAAACTCCAATTTGATTTAAGGGTTGGTCGTGATAAGGGCGTTTGGTCGTTTAAAAAATCTGGCTCTATGCTCTATGGAACAGGTGGTTATATGGTGCTCCATTGATTCCTCATCTTCATCACAGAAGCTGCAAACCTCTGTACTACAAATGCCAAGCGTAAACAGGTGTTTGTTGTTACTAGCATAGTGGCATATTAGTGCTCGACATAGCCATTTTAGGTTTCTCTTACTTAGCGTGAACGCAGATTAAGCTCCTTTGCCATTGAAGCCACCGAACTTCCTTGAGTGATGGTTTCTCTTTAAATTTTCCAAATAGCTGGCAGGATTTCGCCTACTTTTTACAATGTCATTATTCTTGAATACAACGAATGGTCAGAGTTTAACAAATTGGGTGTCGAACTCCTTTTTTTTAGCTTGGAAGTCCGCATTTTCCCCTCATGACCAGCTACCCAGATTAGGGAAACTATATACCTAGTCAGTGGTGTGGCTAGATCATTGAGTACTCTTTAGCACTCTAGAAGATATTTTGAATTTTAGTGGTAGCTATTTCAAGGTATTTTTCCGCAAGAAATAAACTGGGGCAACGAACATCCTAAAACCCGGAATGACAGAATTCTACGACATACAACTCAGAGGGCTCCTTTTCACCAGCACGAGCCAAGGCAAGTCCGTACTTCAGGCCGAGGTGCATGCCATTGAACAATGTCTGAGAAAGTATGTAGATTGTGGATCCGTTAACGAACAAATCTAAATACACTCTGACAGTTGAGCGGCGCTCATCCCTGTTAGAGCACACGAAAAAAAAAATAGGGAGCTATCTAAAGCTTTGAGAACAGATTGAAGTTCTGAAAATATGGGGATATTTATTTTGGCATATTGCCTGTGTAATAAGACGGGGGCAGTCTCAAGTATGACAACTAGTTCCACCCGGAATATTTTTGTGTCTTTGGTTAAGGGAACAGATGTGCGGAATCGAGGTCCTAAAGACCATTTTGCACTCGCTTTGGTCGCAACTTTTTTTTAGTCATTTATTGAACAATAAAAACATACTAGAATATTGTGCTACTAAATTTTTTTTTTTCAAAATCAGTTTTTGCTGTTCGATAAATGACTATAAGTAACCTTGGGGATAAGGTGCAGAGATGGTATTTTCGGGGTTTGTAATCGAAAGTTCAAGCCTTAAATTAAGCACAAGTGGAAGATTCTATTACGTTTTGTTTAATTTTAAAATAATTTTTATCGATTTTGTTATCGATATTTTTATCGATTTTGTTATTGATATTTTATCGATATTTTTATCGATATTTATATCATAACACGCTTCTTGCAATAAAACGTTATTGCCTACTTGAAAGTTTACAGTTTATAAAAATATTTGCTAAAGAAAAATTAAAAACTATATATCTATAAAATCAAACCACCATTTTTAAAGTACTGCTAATTTTCTTTCACTTACTTGAGTCCAGCAATTTTTGTGTTCGTTGCAATTCCTTTTCCGACTCTTTTTTATGTTCCATCGCTTTGTGTGTTTCGATGAAAGCAAGGCGCTGCCCACGGTCCGTCAGATACTTGGTGTACATGCCAGCCACATTAATTGCCGTGTACAAAATGAAGTTGGCGAATATTTGAAATACAATGCAATCAGCTTGCTAACGATAAAATAAAAAAAAAAAACAAATAGAAATATAAAATAAAGAGCAACACTAAACAACAAAAGTATGTATGTGAAAAGCGGAAAAACGTTTGACATTTCAATGGAAAACGCAATAAAATGAATGCAGCGCAGCAGCAGCCATTCAGCCTTCCTTGCTATGCAATAAAATAAATATTTCAAAGGGCACTAAGAGAGCACACTGCATGCAATATGTCGAATAGTTGGACAGACGCTATTTAGTTATAACCTTCGCCAACTAGCAGTACGCTCTTAACCTGGGTACGTACTTCTTTCCGTCTAACTTTAATTATGGTAATTACGGCCAGATGACAACTGGCTGTGATAGTACCGCCGACGACACACCATTTCAGTGGCAACGGCAGCATTGCATACGGCACAAATATCACGAACAGGATGTACCAGACCAAGTATTCGCGATACGTGAAGCCAATACCTTGTCCAACGAAACCTGTGGTGGAGAGAGAGAGGAGCGAGAATAAGGAGAAAGTTAGTGAAAAAAATAATATTAATTTGCATAGCGGTACATTATTGTGGAAATGTGCAATTCTAGCCAAATTATGCACAACTTTGTGGCTGTCTAATTTGATGTGGTAAAATTTGCATTTTGTCTACAAATTTGCGTTTGGCGGTATGGGAGGCTAGTAAAATATTTGGTTCTTATAAATAGTAAAAATCTAATTGGTATTATAAAGCGGAGCAATTTGTGACAATATAAAGGAGGAGAAAGTAAAACAAAAAACTTCTTAGTATACACTAAAATGAGATCCGTTTATGAGCGCCAGTAAAACTATGAGCACCTTGAGGTACTTATACGAGTATAGGGTGATTCAAGGGTATCGCAGATCTTTGACAGCAATGATTTCTGGTATGTTTAGATTTTTTTTAAATTGGTTTTTCAGAAAGTTGGTTTGTAGTTTTGGAAAACTAAGTTATGGAGAGATACTCAGTTGAAGAACGCCTAAAAGTAGATACCGAACATAACAGTTATTCATGAAAACTGTCATGGAAAAATTCACTGTGAAGGAAATGTTCTACAACTAAGTGATACATACCAATCGATTTCCTCTTTCACCGAGACTCAAATTTGGAAATAAATTTTTATTTACAATTTTTAAGCAAAATTAAAACAAATAACAATTACTTTTGATTTTTATATTATAAATCCAAAATAACAATTATTTTTGATTTTTATATTATATGTCTTAGATAACAGTTATTGAAGACTTTTATTTATAATATTTATTTGATATGTGCATACTATTGCCAGAGGGGTCGTGGTGGGCATTTAACGGATGTCGTTTTTCATACGGGTTAGTAGGGATGCCTTTGAATGAAGTACAGAATTGGAACTCTCACAAAAGGTAAATTATCTTGAAGTATTTATGGATCTCAAAACCATTTGCAAGTAAAGTATTGAGAAGCGAGCATGGAGGGCCTTAGTAGCCCTCTATGCAACCAAAATAATAATAGGCAACAAATATGCATTAATGTCATAGAGTGTACCTAACGTGGATGTACTTGGCTATAGTGCGACCCATACTTTCTTATGGAGCTCTAGTACGGTGGCCAGTTCTAGCTAAGGAAATGGAGACTATTAACTTAGTCAGCGAAATGCCGCGGGCCGATTACGAAATTGCGAATACGGCTAATCTAAATGCCAGAGAACTCCTTAGCGTAAGTCAGAAAGTGCGAGCCAAAAGGTTTCCACCTTATCCTCACAAAGCCTGGGCAGTCTAATAGAAAGTGCTGAGATAATTCCACCTCAACATCCTCATGACAGCCGATATAAAAGGGATTAGGTAAGGTTCCCAACCTTACCGTGGGAATACCAATTGCCTCGATCCACACCAGGCTAAAAGGATCTAGCATTTTCGCATGTTATAGTTTTAGTCCAGCACACGCTGAGCCTACATGAGGACCAAAGGTCCGAGAGTGAAACGCAGGGGGACGTTCAACGCCATGATAGCCGCCAGGCTGTTAGAATATATCGATGGCTGAGTGGAAGATCGACCTATCTCGGCAGCCA